ATATATATATATATATATATATCTTGCTCGTGTTTAGTGCATCTTGGAATAACTGCCTTGCTAGTCATTCCAGAGCAGTATGCAAACTAAGATGTAAAAAGGAATTCGCTTTAAACGGTTTGAGTTTTTATTTATTGGCATTGAAAAATGAAGCCTTTACCTAACTTCGATGTAGAGATTTCTTCGAAATGTCCTTTCCAGATCTCATTACCTTAATTTTTCCTTCTATTTGAAAATTACAAAAGACCATTGGCTATAAAGTGGTGCTAAAGTTTTGCAGCTCTATCCACCTGGGCTTAATGCATCTCCTTACAAAACTTATGATTTGTTCTTACTGCGAACTGCATACAGTGGTCTTTTCTATTGAGAATAAGTAGAGTTGTGTATGGAGAAATCTGTAAAATGCTGATACAATTAAAAGAAGTATTCATTTAAAGTAAAATATTATAAGAAAATTCCCTGTCCTATAAATCTTTAACGGTAAAAGGGAACATTTTCTCAGATGTATTCATCCCAAGGCTTACGTGCTGAATTGTCACGATATTGGAAGGAGACAGGCGATGGAAAGGTATTTATATTGGGACCTAGTAAGCTGAGAAGTGGCTTACGAGGTGCGTTAAAATAGAGTTATTAGATGGCATATAAACGTTTGTTGATGTGTTTTTACCATTAAGAGCCATTGTTTTATGTATACATTGCTCTTAATTTAACCTCATTCAAATTACTGTGAAATGAAGCTTGTATGTCATGTACAGTGCAGAAATGACCTAATTCGAAAGCGTTCGAATTTTATTCAATTCTCGGCGTTTTCATTTTGGTGACCTTATTACTCTTATCTCTAATCGCTTGGATTCGTCGCATTCGTTGCACAGTACTCTCTGCTTTCTATTAAAAATCTGGTCCGATGATCAAGTAATAGCAGTTAGTTAATGTTCTCCTCCGGATTTTTTGCATGCCATAGTGGCTTGTTATCGATATTACCTTTAATACTCGAAATTAATATTAACAATTCGGGATTTTTCTCACATATGACTGGTTTAATTTTATGGAAATTTGGATTCGTTTGTTTTTTGGTACTTCAAGATTTATTATTTTTGATTCGCCTAATAACAGGATTTGTGGTGGTGCCACTGCTAGTCATGGCTATATGAGCTATTTAATGCACAAAATATTATTACCATTGGATTATGGCCTCTGCTGTATCTCCTTTGAAATTTTTATTGCTGCTCGATAGCCCAAAATTAACATTTGCATTTTCCGCCCACAACGAAAGGTTTTTCCCAAAATGGGAAATCATTCTAGTGCCTAAAATTGGTTAGGCACCGTTGTCGAGTGTTCAGCATTTCACGTCTGAAAATTCAGAATTTTTGTGTCCAGTACACATCTGTTAATCAGCATGATCGACATTATCGGTCGCGAAAAGGATTCTATAAAGGTAAAAAATCGAATAAGATGGGTGCAGATAAATTGGTCATAGCCATCAGTTGTTTGGATTGGTCATTCTGTTTCATCAAAATATTATCTAGCCTTGTAATTAAACTGTTGTGGGCCCTAGCACCTCCTCAGAGCCAAGCAAGGCAGCGAATGAACTGGGGTAAATGTATTGTTTACATATTGTAGCAATCAATCGAAGCCCCTCGTCTTTCATTGAATCTCACCCGAGTTTCTTCCCTATTTCAGCATCTCTACTACTTCATCATCTCCCAGGAACATGCACCAAAGCGTTTCGCCGTGGAATCCAACTACCCCAAGAAGATAATCGAGTGTCGCCCTGGAGACGAGAGCGACATAGAGGAGTACATCCCAACTGACGAAAACGAGAATGACACCGAACCCATGCCACCACGAGAAGTGCAAAATTGGAACCCAATTAGTCCCCTCGACCCACCTTCCTTTAAGGATGCAAATCTTGCCCAACCACAAATGCTATTTGTCCTTGACTTGGACTCTTAACTTCTCTGGTCTCTGCAGTGGATGCTTTACAGCAGCATTGTAATCTCTTGTTCTGATACACCCTCCAAATATAATGTTGGGATAAAAGCTCTTATATGAGAATAACTGCTGTTTTGAAGAAAAGTGTACAAAATTTGATGGTTATTTATTGTATAAAAAGCTGGGTTCAGTCACTTGATAGAATTATGTATGTCATCATCAATGGTCTTGATAAGGCTCTTGAGATTATCCCATTGATCACAATTAAGTGAAACGCCCTTCTTCCCGGGCTTTAAACCACCATCTGCCTTGTCTTCATAGTATTCTCGGATGTCGACAAAGGTGCGACCACGGAAGGAGCGCACACATACATATTTCTTACCAGTAAGGTCGATGATTTTATCGCCGTTGGCGGCTTTCTCATATTTAACTTTATCAGAGGACTTTGACTGCTTGGCTGGCGGTTCGTCCTAAAAATTGCATAGAATGAGATAAATAACCTACTTCTAAACTTGAAAGACTATTGTCAGACTCGTTCGCAGTATCCGGCTTCCTCTTTAACGATGGCATATTCTAAATGAGATAAGACTCAAAACAAAGATCGCGCGAACACCAGACAATTGATGAAACAATTTAGTAAGAAAAGTAAAACTAATGATTAAGAAAAAACTTATTAATTTTTATATAATCAAGAGGTTGTGTATTTTTATTATTTATTTCAAGAAATACATTGAATATTCCATCTTAAAAAATTAACTAACGACATGGAGGTAGAACGAGCAAAATTCCATTTATCAGAATTTATATCAATAGTGAATGGTAGCATGAAATTCTGGTATAAACTTATGAAAGAACGCATTAGCGGCATTGTTGGTATAAATATATTAATTTATTTCAAACTTTAATTTCAATTTCATAACATCCTACCAGGATATCACAAAAACTTCTAAGAGTTTACCTATAAAATAATTTTCAGTTGAAGTAAGCGGTATCTGATCGTCGTTGACTCAGCGTGTTTATTGACTTTTGCGTAGGAATCCATATGTAAAAGAGCAAATTCGCAGTCCTGCCATGCAGTCGAGTCATATCGTTTTATTATATCGTCAGGTGACGATTGAGGTTCCTTGTCTCCAGTACAAATAAAGCTTTAATTTTAGTTAAATTCCATCTAAGATGTTTTCTAATGATATTTGTTAGAACTAAAATTAACCTAAAGTTGCATATATTCGAGGTTCCCGTAAATTAATAAGTTAAGATATGTGTGTTATCCAAAACCGATTGCTGGCATTTATTGCTTCGTCTGCATATCAGCAATAGTTAAAATATTGCAGGGAGGCAACTAAAATATCAGACAAGCATGTTTTTTAACAGCAGTAAGTATCTATGGGCGTTTTCAATTTTTAACCTTATGCATGAATGTTGGTCGCTCTAGGTAGGTAACTTGTCGGCTGAAGATTTATAATTATCATTATAATATTAGAGACAATGAGAATTTTATTATAATCTGGAATGGTATCTATTTAGCAAAAGATGTAAAAATTTGATTTTCATTCTATGGTTTTGTATTACGTACCATTTAAAATCGCTTGAAAGGTTTGATTAGGAATGCTGAATTGAAATTCATTAGAACCAGAATTTAATGAATTTGATCGAAATCAAAATTATTTCCGTTCGATTAAAGTGATATTGCAGTTATGCACTTCTATTATATTGATCTAGAGAGCAATATTCAATAATTCCACAACTTTATATTAATTCAATCCTCTTTTATGATCCGACTGTCCCCTTCACTTGATATGAAAAAGCTATTCCACCGAATTTAAATTTTCACGCACTTATTCATGAGCCGATTTCAGTAACACAATAAAATTTTTCCTTTAGTAAAATTAATTTTAGAGATTATCTTAACTAAACTGAAGAGAAAAAAGCAAAGAATATATATGGAATTGTAAATAACGGTTACGATCGTGGTAGCAAAGTATGCATTAAATATGAAAAATTAATAATTATACGTTCTTTCAAATTTTCAACCAATAAACAACCACCAAAATTCTATGTCCATTATCATTGGTTCAGCCAATACTACTCTGCTATTCGGGCTGTTCTGGTCTTCTATCTGGTTTCATTTGGTTTATAAAACTAAACCTTATTATGATGATTCAAAAATCGGGATTTAACCATCAAAGTTCTCCTATCCAAAAAGCGTTATCTGTTCTGCCATCCGGTTGGCGAAGAGAAGAAGTAATTAGGCCAAACGGTTTAAATACTGGGAAAAATTTAGTGTTTTATGTCTCGTAAGTTCGTTATTACCATCTTAATACCTTAGACCCGACGGTAAAACATATAAAACTCTAAAAGAATTGCAAATCGGTCTTGGGAGTAAATATGATCTTTCTACTTTCGATTGGCGTACTGGCAAATTCCTCTCTACGCCGTTGAAATGCAAAGTCCCTGGCAATGAGGATCATGTTAATCATAAAAGGTCTAGACCTTACGACACGGACAATGATTGGTTTCAGCGTGGTTCATCTCTTAAGTTCCCAAAAATGGAACTGAAATCAAACCACATGTCAAGTAAACGCATAGATAAACCAGAATCCCAAGAGTGTTTAAGACAGGTATGATTTAGATTTGCTTTTGTTAGTTCTTAAGTTATTCGCGGAGCGTCGTTTATTTGATCGTTGTCCAGTTGATCATCGCGATCGAAAGACCAAAATTGAAGCCACTCTACCTCCTGGTGTCGAATGTAGGCTCATTCATGCTATTATAACGTTTGATCTTAGCTTCCGGTGTTCCTGGTTACAATAAGATGCAGTTGATGCAAAACCTGATTGTTTCATTGTATACTAAATCTGGCCCGATTTCTGGACAAGAACGTTGTGTTGAACAGAATCCCTGTGCCATGATTAATCAAAATCAACCATTTGTAAAAGTATGCATAATCTCCCCGCATTTACTAATTTCTGAATTTGTAGAGTTTTATTGTAATTGACGAGGACGTACGCAAACAGCAACATCGAGTAAGTGAGCTTAGAGAACGCTTGCAGGCCGCTAGGAAGGTATGATTTATTGTAATGATTAGTCCCCAACTTTTTAGATTGCTGCAGAAAAGCAGAAATTTTGAAGCACGATGTTTCAAATCCATCGTTTGCGTGGTACCTTTGTACATAACTTTTCCTATTATCTCTTCGGAAGTATGTGTATGCTTTGTATTACCTCATTTAACTGCTGTTATTTTAACATAAGCAGGACCTCGGATATTGGATATGATACGTCTTTCAAAGTGTCGCTTGAATACATTTTTGGGACGGCAAAGGCGAAGTTTCCCGCCGGGGAATCTTTGCAACTACTGTCCTTATTACAACTCGCTTTCTTTTTTTCTGTCTTAGACTTGTGGCGTTCTAACCCATCGATTCAGTCCTCATGATTTCTTCCAGTGCTATTATTTGTGACTTGGTTTGAAAGATCGCTAGTTATAAGTCATTCTGTAGTCTATATCAACGTAAGGGCTTCTCATCGTAGTGATTTTTCTAAGATACTTCTTTCTAGGCTTTAAATTCGTTCAGTAAAAATCAGTTTTTTGTCTTTAGGTGTTTCTCTGTTATCACTCCTCGTCTGTTTAGCCTAATTTTCCCATCTGTTTGATATAAGTCAATGCTTTTCATGCGAAACAAGACAGTATTCAAGTAGCTTTTTATTAAAAAGAAAGTGTACAAAGTCATTATCAGAAAATATTTGAAAGCACCAATGGTTACCATAGTCCCTCCCATTTGTTGGATTCACACTAGAGGGGGGCAAAATAGTTTGATCAAGAGAATGACACAAGAGAGAAGATTAAGCTAAAACGTACCAATGGTGTCTCACTTGGAAACTGAACAGTTTTGAAGGGGCTGTCTCGAAGGGTATTTGCAAGCTTCCGAATGCGTGCAATCGGGAGGATATGTGCTTGGGTAGTGAATAAGTAATCCTCCTCGTAAACATTCAGAGGATGAGATTCGTCAAATAGCTACAATTGTCAAATGCTGTATTGTTTAGTAACAATAGTTAGAGGATATTCTAAATCTTATTGAAATGGCCATTCAGATTCAAACAAAAGTGGTCATGCTATACAGGGGATTGGATGAATTATCGTCCCCTCAGTGAGATGGTACATAGGAAATCAACTTGTGATTGACTACAATATTCGAAAAGGTTGTCGAGGCAGAGATCGCAAGATCAGTTCACACCCTTTGATGCTATGTTCGGCTGTACAGGTAAGTTCAACACAAATGAGAGGCATTCTTGCTTTATTCAAGAAAGGTGTGGGCTTGCTCACGACTGTTAAGCCTGAATTCATGGGGTAAATGTGCAATCGATGATGGTACCAAATCACATCGTTTAATTTTGGTTAATTTTTGGCAAAAAAGTCTATTAACCGGCAGTTGACTTCTGACTTCAGAATACCATGGCACGACTGCTTGCCATATTCGACCGCTTTCACAGTACTCATCTTACCCTTTTCTCTGCCTCTGTGTCTGTCCGCCTCTTTTACATCTGTGAATCGCTCTTCTGTTCCCCACCCCTCGACTTTCTGCTACTTTGATGAACCTTCCCTCTGTGAAGCCCGAAGTCAATTAAAGGGCTAATGATAGCTATCAAAACGCCTGCCATTTGAAATAAATAAGTAAATTTCGGTTAACGGGATAGATGGGAGAAAGTGAATTTCTTCGCATAACGTCACTCATTTCAAATTGTGTTGTTAGTATTTTCCATAAATGGTTCAGCAAAAAAAAATGATTACAGTGTAGCAGACATTTCTGCGAGGCAGCGATTAATCCCTTAGCCTTACTCTTTACTTTTGCTCATGATAAAGTTAAGGGGTGATAAATGAATAAAAATACACTTACTAAATAGAGATATTTTAGGGTTTCACTCAAGAAAAAGCTTTCCATGCGATCTTCCTGGGACATGTCCTCGATGTTATGAATTGTGGCAAAGCCACACCTGAAAATAATGGAATAA